ATGCTCGGTGGCAAACATGATAACAATTAAAATTAGAATTACTAAAACATTTTAAACAATTACAATTGGGTTTACTATTAGAATTAGGGGGTCGATATAATAGTTTCATTTATTTCTAGCTAACTGCTAAATTCACTTCTAGTTTACAAACACTTCACTACACTACACAACATAGCACTACACTGCACTCCCCCTTCACTACCCTACACTCCCTTCCCCCACTACACTACACTACATCACTTCACTGTATAAGGGCCATGAACGATAATATTTATGACTAATAATAATAATAATAATAATAAAATAATATAATAATAATAAATAATAAATAATAATAAAAATAATAATAATAATAATAAAGATAAATGTCTCGGTCAGTATTATTCGAGATGCTCTAAATGGAATGAAGTATATTTAAATTTGCTCATAGAAGGAAGAGCTCTAGTGCTTTCTGCAGGTAGTTTATCCAATCTACTATAGTGCGATTCACAAAGAGAACTTGCCTACATCAGTCTTTGCTTTCTACATCGATTTCCCAAGATGGTCCTCCTCTGCTTTTATAATCTTGATTTCTGTAATCTTTTACGATATCGCCCATGCTGTGTCCCCTCTGCATGTCTTATACATACGCATAAACGCGCCCGTTCCCTTTCTCTTTGATTAAGGACTTCCCATGTCTCGTTGTTCAAGCCCACGCACCGCCGTAATTTACAAACTTTGAGGCCCGGTTTTGAATTTACTAACGCTTCGATTTGCCCTTTTCTGTACGGGTCCGTCAGCCATGCCGCTCCGTAATTCTAATTATGACACGTACAAGTGTAGTATATGCTAGGCGATCGGGCATTTGGACTACTATTTTAGAATACGCATTACACAAGTGCAGCGCTCTCAACCGGATTTTTTAAAACGCGTATTGGTTAATATGATCCGACCAAACCTAGTCGCTTCGCAGGAACCAAACCCAAATACTTACAGTTTTTTACACGTGGTTAATAACGTTGTTCCTAAATCATAACTGGAGCGTATGCTCGAGGCGGGACTTGGTAAAGCAAATGAATTTCTCTTTTCCGGATTTAAATTCCATCTTATTTCTGCCAGCGCCCAGTTCCCATAAAACAGTTTAGATCAACTCTGTAAAACATTTTCGTCCTCAGACGAGCCAATACTCCTATATATTATGAATCCGTCGGCGAATATGTCTAACTTTTGATTTTAATCCAGTTGCAAATGTCATTAATAAACTAGCTAAGGAATAGCACAGGCCCTAACACACTCCCTGGGGGAACCCCCGAGGTTACATCGGCTTTCGAACTGAAATATTTGGTCTCCTATTCTAACTGTTTGGGTGGCGCCCCCGTAAGAAATTCTTTTATCCACAGAAAATTCTTTTATCCCCACTTAATATCTGAAGCCTCGAGAGCTGATACCATCTTATTAAGCGAGATTTTTGTTTCCTCCAAGATTCCTGAAAGCCATAAGCAATTGGGTTATGATCCATTCGGTAGTAAATTTCAAGTTTTTGAAGCTTTAGGTTATCCCTTCAGTGGTAACCCTTAAGAGACATTCTACTGTTACGCTAAACAGATCAATATTATAGCCAAAATAGTGGTTTCAAGGATACCATAGAAACTCTGCCCAAGAAACCCAACTAAGACAGGTATCGTTAGGAATGTAGTTCAACAATTTTTGATGGAATAAATTTGCAATTGGCTGGATGGGATTTCTAACAGACGTCATCCTGGAACGCAGCCAACGCGATTATTAGAAGTGCAGCGGAGTCTTTCCGCTGGGAGCCTGGCCTCCGTGTTTGGGTAACTATTGTTGTGGCTTTAGAAACCTCAACCCGGTACGGGCTGAGTTAGTTCAAGAATCAAACATGGCTGGCTGACTCTGCGCGACTCTGGCGCAGGAGGTTCCTAGTCTAGTGAACTGGTTAGGTTCGAGTCCCGTCAGTGGGCAGGATTTGATGGACACTAGATAGCTCGATCAGTCAGCTGCTGGAAGAGAATTGACAAAGGCCAAGCTGCCTCTTGATTGGAAGTGGTTACTTCGTCTAATTATTTCCAATAATTTTGCGGCTCGTAATCTGCTATTGTCCAGTAGTCTGTAGTGTAATGTAATGTTTTATCATGAGAGGTGGCTACGGAGTCCCCGCTGGATGGTGGATATTGGCGTCGACCCTGCACGTCGGCTTGCAGTTGTCCGTATTCCCTCCAGTGGGCACTGTTTTAGGCGGATAGTCCCGATGTTTCCTCTCATCTTGGGTACTGTGATGCATGTAAGTGCATGGTGTGTGTGTTGTGTGTGTGTGTAGAGGTGAGGATAGCACAAGGAATAGGAAGGAAAAGATTCAAGCATTCACCTGATATTAATCCTCAGATGACTATCGGCGTTAGAATTCCTCCTCCAGACAGCGAGTCACTCCGGCCTAAGCTTTCTAGCTGGAGTCGATAAAACTTGTACTGTCGAACTAGGATCTCCTGTCAGAGGCACTGCAGTGACATCAGTCAGTGGCGTAGCAATCGTGCCCGCAAAACTGCGGGCGGGCTAGGTAAAAGAGGGCATATTTTCAGAGTATATTTTATTATTTACGGTATTAACACGCTTTTGTTTGCTTGCACGTTTTTAAAGGGGATCCGGATAAAAGTTTGGCGGGCGAACTCCACTCATTCGTTACGGCTAACTGACATCAGTTGATGCCCTGTGCTACCTCTAACCGGTTGGATTTCAAAATTTTTTGTTTTCTGGTACCAGAAGAGCTAAATTCTAAACATGAAAAGTTGTTCAAGAGGAATGTTTTGTAGAATACTGCTACCTACAGAAACCGTAACAGGGTTTTCACGCTGTCTTCTTTATGACTCCGTGCCTGTTCTTCACCTCAGGCTTCGTACTGAAGATGGCGGTGAGATGTCTGTCAAGTACGAACGCCCAACAGTGACGTGTCACCCCTGTGAAAGTGGCAAAAAAGTAAAAATCAAAGTGGTTTTACAACACAAGAGACGCAAAAGAGAGGTCCCTTGGACGCCTGAAATACGAGTTCGATAGGAAAGCCGTGAATGGTATGTGTAGCAAACCCAATCACAAAAAATGTGTGCAAGAGATGCAGATGCGCCTCAGACGCTCCACACTGTCAAAAGTATTTAGTGCAATGTGTATAGTGTTCACTGATAGGTTAGATGTACATAATTAAAATTAAATGGCATATAAGAATGCAGTTAGAATTAAGTATTAGATGATAAGTATCTAGTGTAGGTAATCTAGGCAAATAAGCACACATGTAAATGTTGAATAATGAATTAAAAAATGATGAGAGAGAGAGAGAGGAGAAGAGAGAGAGAGGAAGAGAGAGAGAGAGGAAGAGAGAGAGAGAGAGAGGAAGCGAAGAGAAGAGAGAGGAAGAGACGAGAGGAAAGAGAGAGAGACAGAC